TGGGTCTTTCTCCATTGCCTAAAATGAATCTTCTCTTTCAATACCAGCTTAGGATTTACCTCCTCCATGGTTTTAGTTTTTAATGCTATCTCCCTTTTCAAAGATCTTGTGTATTTCTCTATGTCCATATAAACTCTCAGCAGGACTGAATGCTCTTGGGAGGACAGGAACTATATCACTTTTGTCTTCTGCCAACACATGGTACCATCTACATGAGAGATGCTTTAAGAATGTCTGTTGAACACTGGGGAGGGGAATCTAGACAATGGATTCTAGGAATCTAAAGTGAAGACAAAAAAAAATTTTAAGTCCCTAATTCTGCCATCGAAAAAATTTTTTTCCCCAAACCACTTCAGCCATCACTTTCAACACCTAATGTTTCAGGCTATAAAGATGTACGTTAAATAGAGCACCAGTTTCAATTCTGTCTATAAGGCTCAAAAGGTATCAGCTTCAAACAGATATATCCTATGTAATCATTATCTACTAGTCCATTATAGCATCTAGCTGGATGCCAAGAATTAATTGTCTACGTTGTAACACCTGTTTTTTGAGAATTTTATTGCCCACCTGATTTCACATCTCCAGCAGAATTAGGGATCTAAGACAGGAAAAGCATTTGAGTCAGTTTCCTCATTATAATTATAATTCACAAGTTTGGTGTGACTATCAGAGCATTCTGAAATTAGTAACTGCCACATAAATGAGTTATTAATATAGCCTGGTACATACCCAGCCATCACACCAGGAATGACAGAACCCCTAGTCTATAAAAGACCAATAACTGAAAGGGGGGGAAAAGGAATTTTCAACTTTATTAAAAGTAGTTTAAAGTGACATGCCAAGAATAATCCCCAAAATGTCCTTCATTTAGAGCCTCAGGCACCTTTTTTTTAATCTATTATGAAGTTAGAATGCTTGCACATCTCTTCCCCCAAATCCTTTAGAAACAGAATACTTTAAGGACAATCTGATCCCACTGAGGTTAAAATGGTTCCATTACAAGAATAAATACATTCACCAGTCACTTATGTGTGCTTTGTGGGTTTTTATTTAGGACTTAAAACAAGTTCTTAATACACAGCAACAGTTAATTCCAAGTACAATCTAAAAAAAATGTAAAAAGTTGATGTCCCCCTCATTTGGAGGCAGCGTAATGGCACACGTCCACTACACGTTACTCATAGCAGACAAGCTGCTCCCCGGAGTCCTCCGTGACTTATAACATTTCACTGCCACCACTACCTTCTCTCTGGGAGCTAAGAATACATCAATTGGACTAGTCAGCACTGCCAGAGCACAAATCACGGCCATCCTACTTGCAAACCCTATTTTTCTGTTGTTTCTTAAAAATGTACATGGACACAAGGTATGGTAGAAACTGTTTTTCCATAGAATTCTGAAGTTGCAAAAGACACTTCCATTTTAATGTGAAAATAAGCACTTCTGTGTGTTTTATTTATTTTTTACAAAAATGTTTCAAGATATTTAGCAAGGTTTATTTGCGTAAATAATCCATTTGTACACAGGTTGGCCCTGTCATATTTGTCAATTTTCATATCATTGTATGAGTTTCAATAAGAAATAGGAACAAATATTAGCAGAAAATAAACTTCAGCTATCAAGCACAATGCCTCTTTAGTGGATGGCTCTTTATAAGCCTCTCTTACAAGATTGCTGTGCAGTGCACCTCCCACTGCTAAAATACCATATAAAATGTGTTTGCAACATATGCCTTGTCAAGGAGAGAAGACTATTTGTACTAAATAGCAATTCACATTGAAGTACCATTTTTTAAAATTTCCATTTCGCTAATGAAGGTTGCACTCAGCACACTGATTTAATAATTCAAAGAGGAACTGTAAATAATACTCTAATGGCATTTATCAAAACATGGCCATTCTTTTTTCAAGTATCTTCCTAAAGACATCAAGTGGAACTCCAATGTTCTCACAGTTTTAAAGAAAAACATAGCATATTTAATCAAAACAGCATGGTATAGTGGAAAGACCACTGGACTGGGTGGCATGATTCTAGTCCTGGCTCTACCACTAACTAGCTGTAGGACCTTGAGCAAGTCACTTAATGTCCCTGGGCCTCAGTTTCCCCATCTGTCAAAGGAGGGGGCTGAACTAGATGACCTAAGGTCCCTTCTGGCTCTAATAATTTTTATGAATCTAAGTAAACCCATTTGGGGATGTTCCCCCCTTAACACCAGTGAAGGCAGAATTCCCAGCCAGTGAATTATGTGTAAACTGATGGAAATTAAATGCCTACCTTCCTAAATACTTAAGAGATTGCCTGCTACCCTCTACATAAGGCTGTTTTTAGTGTCATGGTGAGGCCAGGACACAACATGCTCTCTCCACTATAGAAATATGTGGTTAAGGACAATAGGAGAGGTATTCTATTTTGAAGGCAAGTGCTGGAATAAGAAAAAGTTTAAAACACAAAAAAAGTACACATAATCTCCTACCTCACCAGAACTAAAATTTCATTAAGTTGCCTTTTTTTTTTCAGGAAGTAGTAAGACACTGATGAAATAACTGAAAAATTACCACCACAGCTACATGAATGCTATCATTATAAAGATGAAAGAAACTCTGGTAAATTATTAAACAAAATCAGAAAGGGGCAGGGGGTATCCTTCTGTGTGGTAACACAGAATCAGTCCCTCAGAAGCATGACATCAATACCAGCTGCCCGCTTACCCTAACTAAATTGCCAGAAACAAGGACCACAGAGGGAAATAGAAACAAAGCAGCCAAGCAATAGAAAATACTGCTGAACTAGACACGAGGAGGCTCATCTTTATCAATCCAACAGCAGGCTAAGCCTTGCAACATCCTCAATTGGCACTTTTATTTTAAAGTTTAGGTCATCTTCACCCTAAGGCTATAGAATAAGGAAGTGTATTTTCATTCATATCTCCATGGAAATGAAACACCAAAAGAGGAACAGCCACATTGGGCTCTTTTGGGGATGAGAAAGGGGGAAGGTAAAACCAAATATAATCAAGGAAAACATGATTCCATAGGGAAAAGGTTCAGTTTTGATTGTGATCCTAGAACACACTTCATTATGGACCACCGGGATGGCACTCCCCTCATCTCTAGTGACAACATTGCTTGAGGGCTGGTCAGTAGCTTTTGGACTGGGATCACCTTTGCTGCAGCATTCTGCACTGTTTCTCAAATTTAAGTTTTTCCAAGCTTTTTTAAAGTTATTTTTTCAATTGGACAAAAGGGGGAAACTTACAAATGATAAAATTGGAAACAGCACCTTCACTATTAGTAGCATGCAGTCTATGAAATATTACATACATTAAATTCTCCAATTACTCTGGGTTTTGATCACATAGAATCCTCCCTAGACAAGCTATAGAATTTTAAACTGTACAAAATAAAAAATATGCATGAAATCCAACAGTTGGTTTTGTTTTGTTTTTTACACATCAGTACTGAATACAGCAAAAAACGGCAGCAATTGACCCATGGACTCCCTCCACAGTGACTCTACAAGATGAAAAACTTCACAAATGTCATCAGCAGATAGCAAAGAAAGCACTTGTCCAAGAAACAAAATCCATTCCTAGAGAAAACCCTAAGCTTATTTATCTCTGAAAGCCTAGCTCAGCTGACATCTGTTTCTGTAACTGAATTTGATGAGCTGTCAAAATTACCTTTTGGACTTCAAAAATGTGTCTGCTTTGTGAACCCACTAAGCACTCTGAAGCAGAAAATCCAGCACGTATGAGTAGATACTGGGAATAAATAGTTTAAGGAATATATCTTTTAAACTAAGATATATACCCAGTACTAACCACCACCACCACTCCACCTCTCCCTGCACCCCCCACAAAAAAATCTTAGGCACATCAATCTACTTCAGGCAGTAAAAGAGAGTCTTAGCTTATCTTAGAGTCAGCCAGAGATTGGTTTTAAAAAGGAAATAAGAGGCTCAAAGAGATCCCAGTGCTAATGTTGAGAAAAAAAGATTTTTGGTCAAGTTTGCTTAATAAGAGTGCTCAGGCACAAGTGAGTAAGCTGGTGAGAACTAATATAGGATTCCCAGCTGTTAGAAGACCTGAAAACATGATCATAAAATGGCTGTGGAAAAGAGGCAGGGTGGAGTTGTTTTTTGTTTTTTAAATAAAAGAAATGTATATAGCTGGACCTCAGTTAAAATTTTAAAGAAGCTCTATGGTCAAAGACCTGAATCTCCTTTCATGCTAACACACCCTACTCACCTGTCAATTCAAGTACACTAAACCTTGCTGTTCTGTCAGCATAAGACCGCTCAACACTGTGCACACCTTGACCTAGCCTGGCCTAACTCAATTCTGTCCAAGTATCTAGAACCCTGGTCGATAGCACCAGGGTGAACTGAACTGGTCCCCTTAGTAGATCATTTCTTATTCAGGACTAACATCCCCTACCAGTATTTTGCTTCTTTGGAGATATTTTTAAATTAACTCTGTGGAAAAAATGAAGGTTAAAAATGTACTGTTCTTTTAAATCTGAGAGCTGAACTCCAAAGTTCTATTTGTTGTGTAGACACGAGTTAATAATTTCTGCTACAATCTCTGTTGAAGTTCCACTGGAAAGTTTAGCCCACATTAACTAGCAGCACCAGTACTTGACCTAAGCTTATTCCACTACTGCAATTTTAATCTTGGATAAATCTAAAGTGAAAAAATATTTTAATAGGAACATTTCCTATTTAATAGGAAATGTTCCTATTTAAGAGAAAATAAGGAATACCTTATTTTTCCAACTGAGCACAAGAGACTCAAGGGTTTTGTTCTGAGTTTTTGTTTTTTAAATTTTTTAATAAGCAGAAGGGGAAAGCAGCTTAGACAGTAGTACAGGTAAAGCTGGTCTTTGATGATCACAGAGAATAGCAATCCTTTAATTTCCACTGTGGAGACTTGCCAACAGACCTAAAAATTGCTTGTTCTTTCCAAATAAGACTAATAAGATTCAAATAAACATCTGCTCTGAAGTCAAAGCTTTAATGCTCAGAACAAAGTTTTCATCTTGACTGCTAATGAGAACACATGTCATTCAAATGTTAACTTAAAATCTTCAGGCTTGAAACTGAAGAAAATATAATGTCCATTTCACTACATCCTGTGCTCTGAGATGACTAACCCTTGTTACAAGAAGTCTGGATCGGTGGCAATGTAGTTTTCATCAGAATACTAAAGCAAATTTGTGGCACCAGTTAGGTAGCTTTAGAAGTCCCTAACACTTTCTAAACTTCATCATCTAAATGATTTAGGCTGACAGTTATCAAGAGATAAAAGTCAGTTTTGCATTCACTTGCTTCAGCCACAGAGTGCTAAGAAACTGCAAATTCTAATTGCATTAAACAAGTAACAAACAACCTGGAAAGCTTGTTATGTGAACTTTCATATAAGTTCTCCAGATGCTTCATCTTCAGGTGGAAGAAAAAAAGTGACTAAGATGCTCAATGGGTCATAAGGTTAACACCATGGCATTATCATCTTGGCATTTCTAACGCCAAGCACTAAAGCAAGGGAGAAAAACTCTGGGTTAGATAGGATTCCTGAGAGAGATCCTAGATTCTACCTCAGTCTTATTTTTGACGTTGTTTCAGTTACATATATAAATCATTTCATTTTCTACACACCCAGAGATGAATACGTCAGCTTATTTACTTCAAAGTGTTCAGCACAGCCACCACTAACCATCAGAAGATCCATTTGTTCATACCTAGGTCACTAACTTGCTTTTTTATAATAATTTTTAAGCCAAAACACATAAGTAGTTTTATTACAATTATCCTTATACTTCATCCATGAGTTCACGTGAGTTTATTCCCCAGAGCCTTGTGTAAATCTGGAAAGCCCTTAATAGTTCCTTTTGATCTCAGTACATCGTCAGTCTTCACTCGGAATAATGCATGATGGACTCCACGTAATTCCCTGGGAAAAGCCCAGTCACTCCATTCATGACTCCCTCATACCAACCATCATCATTCTTCTTGATGACATAAATGATAGCTCCTTCCTGAAATGAAAGCTCATCCTCTTTGTCTTTTGTGTAATCATAAATCGCAACAACTAGAAAAAAAACGAAAGTAAGAAAAATATATAGGAAGGAAAAAAAAACCACAACTGAGCATGTCAGCACAGGGAGTCTCTCTCTCTAAGTCACTCAAATAGCACAGTAATTTTCTAAAAGCAAATAAAAAAATGTTCTGCCTATGTGTTGATTACAGACTTAACAACTCAAAATGGCAGACTTAACATTTTAACCAGAAGAAACTTTAAGCTTCCCTAAAGTCTTCCTGGTTCAAAAATATCTCGTTATTAGGACCATTACAATGACATCATAAACATGTCCTGAGTCAGCTGATAAGCACTGATTAAGTGCCTACTACGTGACATTGTGCTAAGCACTGAAGTTACAAAAAGAAGCAAAAGACAGTCCTAGCCTTCAAAGAGCTCACAATCTAATTACAGATTTTATACTTTTTTTAGGGTGAAGTGTAATTATTTCAATTCTGCTTGAAAAGTCTTCTCTGATCACCCCATAGGATGCAAACATTACTCTCTATCACCCAACTTTTTCTTGACCTAACCTCAGCATCTTTGGTAACTTTAATAAAAACTTTCCTCAGTTGCAACTTGCATCTGCTCTGTATTATCTACTTCTCTTCCAATGCTTTGACACCACAAAAAAAATGCTGTTACATTTTGGTGTATGTGAGGACTTTCTTCTTTCTTTCAAATCTGCCTCTTTGAGGTACAAGCCTAGTAACAGAATCTCTGGGTCAAAGGGTATAGACATCTTTGCACTTCATGTGCATGATTCTTCACTGCTTTCTAGAAGGGATTCTCTACCTTGTCACAGCCCCACCGACAATGCGCTAGGGTGTGCTACATTCTAACAACACTCCTACACTTATTATATCCATCTTTTGTCATCTTGGGCAGAAACTGTTTCATTTCTACCTCTGAAACCCCAGGGCTCAGCAAAGTGCCAAGAAATAGTACTAACTTAATAAATGTTCACTGAATGAATGACAGGCTCCATACTAGCAGCGAGCACTATTGGCAAGATGCATTTCCTTGTTTTGTGCCTTGCCTGTTGTGATTGGTTATGGAACAATGTTACCTTGTTGTGTTCTATCAAGGAATTTCAAAATGTACTTAACACATGTATGGAAGAAACCAAATAGGAGAAGAGTCTTCAAAGCCATATTCTGCTCTACCACATCAAAATTAAATGAGGCAAAATCAGCCTTTAAGTGCAGAAACATGCAAAAAGCCAATTTTTTTTTAAAACAATAAGAAAAGGTAAGGAAAAAATTATCCACTTTTCATTTGTTGAAAACAATGAATGAGAGGGAAATGAGCATTTTTAGGAAGCAATTAATGTATATTCTTCTAAACTAGTTATAATCAAGACTAACCTTCTTTGAAATCTACTTGAATGTTTATATTTTATTCAGAGTAATATTGAAAAAGAAAAAAGAAAAGACTATTATACTTCTCTTATAATCTAGCTTCCAACTTCATTATCCCATTGAAACTGCTTTCTCCAAAATTACTAAAGATCTTTTAGCTGCCAAATCCACTGGCCTTTCCTCAGTCCTCATTTTCCTTAATCTCTCTGCAGCCTCTGACAGTATTGATTGCTCTTTCCTCAATACTGTTCTTTTGGGCTACCACTCTCTACTGCTTCTTCTCTTCCCTATCTCATCACTCCTAGGTCTTTTTTTGCTGGATCCTCTTCCAGATCATGCCCTCTAATCATAGGTGTCCCTCAGGGTTCTGTCCACATCCCCTGCTGACCTCATCAGCTCCCATGGATTCAGTTACAATCTGTATGCTGATGATTCTCAGACCTACCTCCCGCCCAAACTCTCTGCTGACCTCAGTCTCACATCTCCATCTGCCTTACAGACCTGTCAGACTTGATGACCAGCAGACATCTTAAACTCAACATGTCCCAAACCAAACTCATTGTCTTTCCCTCTAAATGCTCTTCCTCTCCTAACGTAGTATTTACTGCAGAGGATAACACCATCCTCCCAGTCTCTCGGGCTCACAACCTAGGAATCATCTTGGACTCCTCTCTGTCTTTCACTCTGCGTGCCCAATCTGTTGTCAAGGCTTATTGATTTCATCTTTGTAACATTTCTCCAACACCCCCCCTTCTCTCCTCTGACCCTGCCTGCGCTGTAGCACAGGCCCTCATTGCCTCATGCGTGGATAACTGCAATAGCTTGCTGATGGGTCTGCCTGCCTCAAGCTCTCTCCAGTCCAGTCCACCCTCCATACAACCACCAAAGTGATTTTCCTAAAGTGCACGTTTGATCATGTCATGTTCCACCCCATTTCCCATAAATTCCATTACCTCCAGGGGCATTTAAAGTCCTTTCCTACCTTTTCAATGTCCTACTCCTTATACTTGCATAAAAGACTATTTTACAGAGAATTCACACCAGGAAAGTGTTCACATGGAGGCCAGAAGACAGGATTACAAAGACACTCTCAAGGTCTCTCTGAAGAACTTTGGAATCAACTGTGAGACACGGGAGACATTGTCACAGGACTGCCCAGCATGGTACACCTCCATAAAAGAAGGTGCTGTGCTCTACGAGCAAAGCAGAATTGTGGTGGCTCAAAAAGACCCAAAAACATGAGATACACAAATTTAGAGAACGTCTCCACTCCAAATGTTCACATGGACTATTTGTGCCCAACCTGTGGTAGTGTTCCAAGCTTATACTGGTTTGATCAGCCACAGTAGGACAAATTGTACCTTGACTCCAACACAGTGATGTCATTTTGGTCCTCTTCAAGAATGAAGGACCACATTTACCAACACCCCACTTCTCCACACATACTCTTTCATCCAGTGATACCGGCCTCCTGGCTCATCTACGGAACAAAACACTCCAGCTCTTGGCTCTGGGTGTTTTCACTGTCCACCATGCCTGGAATATTCTCCTTCCTCCAGTCTACCTACTGACCTCCTTTAAGTCCCAACTAAAATTTCATCTTTTATACGTGTGGTGTGTGTGTGTGTGTGTGTGTGTGTGTGTGTGTGTGTGTGTGTGTGTGTGTATAGCTGGTTTTGTATATATTTGTTTGCTGTTGCCTTCCCCATTAGATTGTAAGCTCTTTGAGGACAGGGACTGTCTTTTGCCTCTTTTTGTAATGCCAGAATTTAGCATATGCCCCGCGCTTAATAGGTTTACTGACTGATTAATCACTTTGGGAGCAGTTGAGAGATTTTCTTTGAACTGAAAATGATGACACCAAAATTTTCCCTAACACTGCTTTTCTTTCAAGAGTATTTTTTCCCTCTAAGCTGAATACTCTCAAAGATATTTATTAATCATGCTTCCTTGGTGGGCAATGTCTTACTGGTTTTTAATTTTCTTATTGAATTTCCTTGTTTTTACATTATTTTCATTTCACTCTATTGTTTTTGCCTCATATATAGGCAATGATAAACTTTTCCTGAGAAAGACTCATATATTTACCTTTCAAGTGAACTGAATCATTAAGTATGTTTCTTTTTTAGAAGAAACTTTTTTATGGCAATCCTTATTCTTAAATTAAATATCCTGATTCACTACACTACAAAATAATTCTTTAGAAGCTTAAATGGTAAAAGTAACTTTAAAAAAATCTTTAAAATATAATGGGAAACACAGAAATGTCATTTCCCTGTCTTAGATAAAGCAACTAATTACTTGGAAGCAGACAGACAACTTGAGATTGTTTTTAATATCACTATAGCTTCATTTCTGTTCAGAAGTCATTTCTTTCTCCACATATCACTTCACCTTTACCTTTTTCTAAATAGGTCCTTGGTGCCCAGGGAGGATCCTCTTCAGCATAGGGATCGCTGTACTCTACCACAGCTGCCTCCTCCTCCTCATAATCTTCTGGTGGTGGAGGTGGAGGTGGGGATTCATCAAAGACTGGTTCTTCTGCAGGCGGTGGTGGAGGAGGAGTGTCTGAAACTAATAAATCATCAAGATGATAACAAAAATATACAATATACAGATTTGGAATGCCCTCATTCTAAGATTGTACTATCATAGCATTCAAAACTAGATTTGGAAATGTACATTACTTAAAAAAAAACAGTTAAGTTAGAAAGAAAACAATAGCCCACCAAAATTTTAGTGTCTGAATCTTCAAGTCTAATATTCTTTATAGATCATCTTGGTAGGTTCTAACAGGACCTTCAAATTTACCCAAGTTAACCCTGGCCTGATGCATGAATTTTGTTGCTATTATCCTTTGAAGTTATTTAGCCTCTGCTTAGACATATCCAGTGTTGAGAAAATGTCTAAATCAGCCCACTCCATTTCAGACAGATCTAATAGATAGAAAGGTCTTCCTTATGAAGAGCTGTTATATACCTCTTGGGAACTGCTATCCATGGAAAACTGTTCTTCATCTCCCCACCTCACACCTAGGATTCAAAGAACAAATCTAAGCCCTCTTCCATGTTCAAATATTTGAAGACAACTACAACTACCCTCCAAGTCTTTTAAGTTCCCTTGATATCCCTGGGTCAACCTCTTCTGGATGTCCTCCAGCTTATCAATGCTTCTATCAAAATATGACACCTATAACTTACTACAATATTCCAGATGTGGTCTGATTAGGTCACTATACAACAAACTATTACTTCTCTTAATCTTAAATCCACAGTTTTGTTAATAAAATCTAATCTTATTTTGCTGGGGATGGGAGGAGTGGAGGGATGAGAGAATGGAGGTGGGGGAGGACACCAAATAGAACATCACATTTTTGACTCATTTTGATCTTGCAGTCAACTTAAAGTTCCAGGTCTTTCTCAGATGAACTGATCTCTAGCCACCACCTTCTTAATTCTAAATTTGTACAGTTTATTTTTTTTAACCTGAGTTAAGGACTTTACATTTGTCCTCATTAAATTTTGTCTTTCTACATATAGTCCATCTTTCAAATTAAGAACTGTAAAGAATTTAATCAAGTCATATTACCAAAGAGTCATAAAAACATACTGGCTATTCCTCTAGATTTTTTCACCTACCAATCTCATAAGCATTCTTTCATCCAAGCCCCTGAAAAATATTGGACAAAAAGGAATTACAAATAGACATGTAGCATATCACTAATAACACATACCTCCAAGTTGAAACCAACTTATGAATGGAGGCAGTGTGGTACAGTAGAAAGAACACAGGCTCTGGAGTCCAAGGACCTTGATTCAAATACCATCTTTGATACTGACTACCTGTGCGACCTGAGACAAAGCACTTGGCATCTCTGGGCCTCAGGTTTCTCATCTATGAAATGAGAGGTTTGGACTAAAGGGTGTCTGAGATCCTTTCCAGCTCTACATCTAGCTTTTGGGGACGGTATTCTTCTTAATTAGGCTAATCATTTAATCCATACAGCTCCAATCTGTCTATAAGGATATCATGAGAGACTTTGTCAAATACCAAATAATATTCCTAGTATCGATCACAATAGTAATACTGTTAAAAGAGAAATTCAGGATTTTCTGTCATGATGTGTCTTAATGAAGCTGGCTTCTAGTGATCATGACATAGCTACAAGTGCTTACAATCATCTATTTAAGATCAGTTCTGGAATTCTTCCTTCTTCACTCTAAGCATAACAGTCCATTACCTGTCAGAATTTTTTTGCCTGTTTTTGAAGACTCCAATTATCTATTTCTTTTGCCGTTTTCCATGATTCCTTAAAGATCAATGACCTTAGAGACTGCATCTGTGAATTCTTTAAGTAGCCTGGGATTGAATTCATTCAGGTCAGGAGATCTGAACTAATTTAGTAAGCAAGAACCTAGAGTAAGGTACACTATCTCTTTAACATCTTTTCATAAGGAACAGTCAAAGATAAAAAGGACAGAAAGAATGTTTTGTGAAAAAAGAGAAATTATATTAGTTATCAAAGGTTATAAAGTACTGATCACCATTATTGTGAACATTTTCATACCTAATGAGTATGTTTTAATATACACTGACAAAATATCTGTATGAAACAGCTTTCAACTGATATTCTGGACAGTTCTGTCTTACAGTGTGGATTTTATGAGGACTTGGGTTTTTTTGTCAACAAGGTAAAATGATAACCCTGCTTATGCAGACACTGTTTAATGTTGCAAAGAGGCAGAACGAGATCTTTTATTTATTAAAAACAAGAGATGTGCGAATGTGAGGAAAAACTTTTTAAGGGTACCAAAAAGATACACCACCTTGTTGGAGATTTATACTCCATCCTTTTGATGCTTAATGACTAAAGAGGGTAAAACTAAAAACAATGAGATCATGTCAACATTTAGAGACTACAAGTGAGGTATCATTTTTAAAGGACTGTCTATTTGATCAAATATATGTGGGGAGTTATGACTTTTTAAGTAAAAGATGAGTCCCTGGAAGTCAAGAGGCTCGCATTTAAAACATTAAGAGGAATACTAGAAGGCAAGAAACATCTATCCAGCAACACAGCAGCAAGAGAGGAAGTGGACCTAATAAGAGTTAAAGATAGAGCAGGGGGGCAGTTAGAGGCAGCGGTATGAAGAAAGACTGAATGATGCCTGCTTGGTTGAGGAGAGAACTGATTTCACTGGCCAGTAGCTCCAGGGACAACTATTGCCCTCTTCAACACCACCCAGAGTATGAGGGAGGGCTGCTTGCTCTTTGCTGCCACCTCTGGCTTGAGAAAGAAAAGCAAATGTTGTGGAATCCTTTTGAACTGGCTTAAACACTCTACCTGAATTGGGCTTCTGTGAACTCAGTTCTCTTTAGATAGTGCAACATCCTGGAAGGTGAATGACTGGATGGGCTGGGCTTTATAGCTAAGATATAGCCACTTTCATGAGCTTGACACTTGTCTGGTTTTATTTAAAGAGAACTGCTATTCACAATGAGTTAACATTTTCTAAACATTTTTTTAAGGATGCAGATTTAAATTCAATTCAATTAAAATTTAAAATTGTAAAGGCAGAAGAGAAGGGCAGAGAGGAGAGAGGGAAGAATGAGGAAAGGAAAGGAGACAAGAGAATTGGATTTCTTTTTAGTTGAAGAGTCGTAAAGTTCAACACTCAAGCAGTGAGTAAAGAAGCAGTTCTATTTAAAACAAATAATCCTGAATAGACCAATCATACTGAAGACTGTATTCCAGAGTTATGAATTACCATAAGCATATGAGTTTTACTTCTTAGTGTCTGTCAGGTTCCTAGAAGCCTGTGCTAAGGGAAGTATATTTCCCCTCAACTGGGTCACCCCTAGGACACTAAGAAAGTTTAAATCGACCCCTGAAAGTGGTCTGTTTCTGCAACTTTAGACCTGCTGGTATATGGTGAAGTTGAAGCCAAATACAAGAAGAGAAGGTATCTCCCACAGCTAGGTATGAGGCCCCAAATGTTACAATGTGGGGGTTTCTACACTACAGTGTAAGAACAGACCCCACTGGGACACAATTGTCTCATTGTATCATGGCGACACTGAAATAAACTAGACATGTATTCAAGGTGTTACACCAATAACTCTTCAACATGTTTGTTCAACCGCTTCCAGTCTGAAGATCATTATATCCTTCAAATAGAAAATGTAAGGAAAATTGCATCTGAATAAGTGCCCTTTCATTTTTTTTTTCTGTTAATATTCCAATCACCCCCAATGTAGCTATAAAAGCTCCTTCTGTCCTTAGTTTCTGTCGAAGTTCATTCTGGGCTATATCGTTCCTGACAACTCTCTCACACATCTACACATACACGTACACACACCCACACAATACCAGTCAGAATCAGAAGCTGGAATGTTATGTTCAGGAAGCCAGTGCCACTGGACTGAAGACTGGAAAAGTCAGTAAGGGTCTGGTTAGGGAGGGCTTTAACAGCCAGAGAAGATTTCATATTTGATCCCAGGGGCAAAAAGAAGCCAGGGGAGTTTACTAACTGGGAAGGTGACACGGTCAGATTTGTGCTTTAGGAAGATCAATTTAAGACAGCACTGCAAATCAAAAAGGCTAAAGTGTTGGCTGTGATGCTCTCTTCAGGGTACATATTAGAGATATAGAAAAAGGAGCCAAAAAATTACTTTAAGCTGCCCTTTATTTGCATTATAAGATGGACCCATGTTATAATAAATTCTGTTACTAGTGAAAGATGAAGAACTTGGACTAGCAATTTCTGTGAGTCCTATCTAGTACTAACGCCTATGTTCCTGTGATTGCCAAGATACCTTCTAAAGCTAGATCCTGTGGTCCCATAATACTGCCAGAATACAGAATACTCTTTTGTAGCATTAGACTACGGTTTGTAGTATTATATTTTGAAGGCTCATCTAATGAGACCGAGAAAATAAACTCTCACTTCCACAGATATTTATTAGATACCAACTACATGAGAGACGCTGGTGCTAGGGATTTGCAAAAATTTTTAAATGACACGGTTCCTGCCTTCAAAGAGCTTGGGGACCAAAAGAGGGGATGAGACAAGTATAGTAATAACTATAATGCAAGTTAGAAGATGATTAAGCACACAGGAGATGTGGCTTTGAAGTCAGAGGAAAGAGGACCTAGTACACAGGTTCAAATCCCAGCCCTGCGCACTTGGTAAAATAAGGGGACTGGATTAGTCTCTAAGGACCCTTCCACCTCTCTACCCAGAAAACTATGTCGCCTGATCTGGGCCTTGTAGGAAGGAAACAAAGTTTTCAATAGCTATAAAGATATGGTGCAATACATTTTAGGCACAGGATGGATAAGAGAGGGCAGAACAGTGATTCCAGTTTGGTAACAGAATTTATAAAAGGCAGTACTGGGGAATGAAGACTGGAAAGAGACAGAAACCTAAATGCATGTGTATAAATAAAAGTATGCAAGAACATGCATGTGTGTGTGAGACTGTTTCGTTTTCTTCATCAGGATAAGTTGTGATTGTTTTGGGGGTGTTTTTGGCAAGGCATTTGGGGTTAAGTGAGTCACATAGTAAGTGTTACATGTCTGAGGCCAGACTGGAACTCAGGTCCTCCTGACTCCAGGGCCGGTGCTCTACCCACTGTGCCACCTCACTGCCCCTGTAAGTTGTGATTTTTGAGAAGCCTTATCCCTCTTGAACTGTCTTCCCCCTTAGTGTCTCTAGCCATAACATCATAAATCTTTCTTCCAAACTTTCTGAAACATATATTTTTTAAGTCTAAAGTACATGTCTAACTATTTCCAATATTCCCCTCCTTGGATATCACGAGTTCTAAAATGATATGATGACTTTTTCCCAAGGTTCCTATCTTTTCTATTCCTATCATCTACAAGGAATACTGGTCAAATTTGTTGATGACAGTGCAGAGATGGATGGCTAATATATGGTACACAGAAGAGTAATGATTCAAAAATCTTCACAGGGTAGAGCATAGGATTAAACCTAATGAAATTAAAGAAAGACAAATATAAAGTCTCACAAAGTAGGTTCAAAAAATGCACTTCTGGAGTACAATTCTGAGGAGGCATGATTAAACAAACAGCAGTTCAGCTGTAAAAAACAGGGATCTTTAATGAAATACAAGCTCAAGGAGTCAAACATGATATGTCAGCCAAGAAAGCTAATGCAATCTTATGCAGCACTTGGATCATATAAATATAGATATTATATATTTTTCTAATCTTGTCACACAGTATATCCTATCCAACCCCTTTACTCTGGAATCAAGTGACAGTGGATATCTGGCTTCATTACTATGAGACTGCTCTCACTCTCCCACCATGCTCCCTCGTAGGGTACCTCTCCTGTGCCGTCCCTTCCCATTCGCTTTTTGGCTTTCATTTGTGCGTCATCTTTCCCATTAAGCTCTTTGAGGACAGGAACTTTTTTTTTGGGGGGGGGCAGGAAGGAATACATCCAGAGCTTAACACAGTCCCTGGCAAGTCGTAGGTACTTAATAAAGACTGACTGGTTTTGCTGCTTTTTTAACCCAACACTCCATCTCTGGATTCTGAGCATTTTCACTGTCTACCAGGCCTGGAACATTCCCTCTTTATACCCCCATCTTGGCTTCCCTCAAGTCTCAAATGAAGTTCCACTTTCTACAAGAAGCCTTTCCTAGGGGGCAGGTAGGTGGTGCAGTGGACAGAGCACGAGCCCTGGATTCAGGAGGACCTGAGTTCAAATCCAGCCTCAGACACATAACACTTACTAGCTGTGTGACCCTGGACAAGTCACTTAACCCCACTGCCTAGCCAAAAAAAAAATTTTTTTTTAAAAAAAGCTTTCCTAGTCTTCTTAATCTTAGTGCCTGCCTTCCCTCCAAGATGATCTCCAGCCTACCTTGTAACATACCTGTTTGTACATGGCTGTTTTCTGCTCTCTTTCCCCATCCCATTAGACTATGAGCTCCTTGAGGATAAGGGCTGTCTTTTGGCTTTCTTTGTATCCCTGGCACTTAGCACAGCACCTCGCACATAGGAGGAAGTAAATAAATGCTAACTGCCTGACTGCAAATTAACCTAGGATCTAAATGTTCCTAAGATAACACAAATTTCAAGTGCTTCCTTAAGCACAGTGCCTGGCACATAGAAGGTAGTTAATAAATGTTTACTGAGTGACTGATTTCTACATCTTTGAATGTGGTTAAATTCAGATATGAAGAAATGTAAGTTTATTAGCAGCCCTTCTTCATACCAAAAGTACATGAGACATTGTTATCATCTCACTGAACTTCCTCATTTCTTGGTTGTGAAAGTAGAGGCCTGCTGATGATTTCAAAAGGTTTGAAGAGGATAATTTGTGACTATATAGTGGTATTAATTTGCTCTTTAACTTATTCCCATACCAATTATTTTTTACTATACAACATTTATAAAAGTGTAAAACTACTCTTGGGGGGAAAAAGGTTTTTTTGAGAATATGACTGCTAGGAATGCTAGACAACCTCATCCAGATGTCCCAAAGGCATCTCAAACTCAGTTATGCCAAAACAGAACATATTATTTTTCCCCAAAACCCGTCCCTTTTCCTAATTTTCTGTATGTTTGTTGAAGACATGATGATTCTTCCAATCATCTAGGTTTATAGTCATCCCCCACTCTCCCAGTAAACTGATGGATCTTATTGATTTTTACCTCCATAAGACCTCTCTCATCTTTATCCTCTCCACTCACATAACCACCACCCAAATTCAGATCCAAATCATCTCTTACCTGCGCTATTCAAACAGCCTATTAATTGCCCTCCCTGCATTCAGTCTTTCCCCTCTCTAATTTATCCTTTAGCTGTTGTTGCCAAATTAATATTCCTAAAGCACAGGTCTGACCATGTCATTCCCTGACTCAAGAAACTCCAGGGGCTCCTACTGCTTCCAGAATGAAATAAAAACTTCTCTCTTTCGCATTTAAAGCGCCACACCACCATTACAGGTTGGTTACATATTACTCCATGTCACATGCTCTAAATGCCATCCAACTCATTGCTTCTTGTACATAAGATTCAGTCTCCTGCCCCTGATTCTGCACAAACTGTTCTGCAAGCCTGGGATGCTCTTCCTCTTCATCTCAGCATCTTAGAACCCCTACATCCCACAATAACTTACCTCCAGTGACACCTTCAAGAAGTCTTTCCTGATTTTCCCAGATTTTTTTATGCTACTTCTCTCTGCCCATAACTCTGTATTTAATGTGTGCATATTTTAAGTTTACTTCCAGGAAAACTCAAGCTCTCTGAGGGTAGAGACTATCTTGTTTTGTCCTTGTATAGTGCCTAGCACAGTGACTGGCACATATGAGGAGATTATGCATTCCTTATTGAATTCAATTACTCAAATATATGGCCAAAATTATCAATATGACAACAAATGAAACAAGCAAAATTTTAAAATATAGACACTTTATAAACTCTAGAATTTAGTAACAGTTTTAAGGAATGAACTCCATCTCCTCTGATCAGAGACAGGTAAACAAAAAAAGATATTTTATATGATTCCCCCCAAAAAAGGGAGAAAGGCTCAATATACAGCAATTAGAGAAGGTCAGTAACACATAAACACCTTTCATACCTACAATCTGATCAACAGCATAAAAAAGTAAACTTACTATTTTCTTGGACTCTGGCCACAAATCCCATTAAAGGCAACTGAGGAGTTACCTGTAGGATGGCTGGAGGAGGAGGCGCAAGAGATGCTGAAAAAAAAAGGGGGGGGGGAAGGTGGGGCTCAAGTTATATTAAAAATAAAAGATAATACAATAAAATTAATGGATAAAGACAAGAAGCCACCCACTATTCAGAAATATGTGGTAAGATGTCACGTGGGCCCTTTTAAGGAGGGAAAAAAACAAAACAAAACCCCAGGTGGCCTTTTAAAAACTTCTTCAGTACTTCAAGCAAGTTGAACTGTGGAGTCTATGAACTTGGCTTGAGCAGTCCTCCAAGAACAGACATAGAGAGTCCATCACAAGGTCCATACTCACAACCTTTACAACTTGTTAAAACCTGCTACATCTTGCCCTCCAATGTCACATGCTTTAGAACCCAAGATTACCACCCATGTCATCATGAGACATCAGGGTAGGGTATTAAAAGAGATTTTAAACACAGATTTTAAAATTAAAGCAAAATTCATTTTTCATAATCCATTTATAATAAAGGTTTTGACTAGTGTTTATCACTTACTAATAATTTCATACCAAAAGCTACACATCGTATCTTAAATTAAGCATTTCTCTACATTGCTATAAACAGATTAAGACTTTTTTTTTGCATGTGTATATACATATCAACTTACAGTTTACATTCTTAGGCTTATAATTACCATAGTTAAAGAAAGATGTGAAATGACTATAACATGACATTTTTTGCTTTTCACTCCTATGTTATTAGACAAACAGGTGGATTAAACTGTCCTAAAATTTGGTAAGCTACTGTAGAACCAAATCTTATCTCCTATTACTCCTCAGACTATAAACTTTTTTCTAGAAGTCTAATTTCCTGACTTTCCCCACATCAGCTGCACTAATTCCTGGCTTTGTTCCTTCACTTATGCTATTCTCCAACTTGGAACACCATCCCTACTTAAGACCTGGATATTCTTCAAGTTCTACCTCCTCCACAAAGATTTATAAAAGGGCCCAAGAAAGGGCTAAAGGAGAGCAGTCACACTTAATGCACCATTTGGTGGAGTTGTGAAATGATCTGATCATTCTAGAAACCAATTTGGAATTATTTCCCAAATCACTAAACTACGTATCTTATGATCCAACTATATGACTACTAGGCTAGAGGGACAGAGGGTAGTGATAAGGTAGAATACTCAAAGAAAGAGGGAAAGGACTAATTTGCACGAAAATACAGCAGCACTTTTTGCTATAGCAAAGAATTACAAACAAAGTGGTAGGCTCTCAGGTGGGAAATGGCAGAACAAATTATGGTATAAGGATATAATGGAATACTGTTGCACTGACAACAATGACAGAGTAACCTGGGAGGATCTGTATGCATAGTGAAGTGAGTAGAATCAGGAGAACAATGTATGTAATGTCGACAATACCGCAAAGGAAGACAACTGTGAACAATTAAGAATTATTATCAATGCAATGGACCAATCACAGCTTGAGAACGATTATTATCATTTTCAGAGCCTTTGGTGAGTAAGTGACAGACTGGAAGTGAGGAATGAAACACAAATTTTCAGACAAGGCCAATATGTGATTTGTTCTCCTTAACTGTACTTATTCATAACAAGGGAGGGCTTTGAAGTGGGGTGAAGCAAGAGCTATGCAGGATATTCAGAGGATACTTACAGGAAGGAAGGGAAGACAGGAGAAACGAAGAAATGTCAATAAATCATTTTAAAAACACAAAAGAAATGAAAAGCAAGTTCAGAAAGGGACACAAGCAAAGCAGTACTGGAACTACCATGATAAAATGAATATGTACTTTTTCTTTAAGAGATTCACAGAATCATTTACACTCTTCTTTTTCTATTCTTTGTAGGAGGACATGTCTATTTATTGACCCTATCAAGTTCATAACAAGTTTAAAAATTTTTATATAAATAAAAGGGCTCTAAAAATGATGCAGTCCAAATATATTTAGCTTATATGAACAAACCAAGGCCTGAAGAAGTCTGACAGCTTGCCCAAAAGGCCAGAGTTAACGACAGTCAAAATTCAACTCACCCCTTCCTGACCAATTATAAATTAGTATTTGTAACATACACTTTGGTACTTGATTGCATTCAATTAATCATTTTACTATATATTATTCTCAATCATTTCACTTTTTTTTTTCCAAAAAAATTTTTTTAAATAATCTTTAAGGACAGGAACAGTTTTTCCCTAATTTTCTTCTGGTACTGAAAAGCACTTAAACACACAAATGCTCCATTAATAGATGCTAAATTGAACTGGAAGCCAAGTAGGCTAAGATGGCTCAAGAAAAGATGTTTCTCACGCACTATAAAAGCACAGAAATAGAAGTGGAGGCAGCAGCTTGTTAGGAATTGTAGAAACCCAGATCCTCCATAAATATACCCTGCAAAGCTCTAAAAATGCACCAGAAAGAAGAAAGGAGAAGAAAACCATAGAGAAACCCCTATAAGTTCTTCTATCCGCTCCCGGACTACATAAAAGGATTGCAAGAACCCTGTGGAAAATCTGAGCAGGGATAAACCAGGGGAGACAGAAGATAAGGTTTACAAGCAGCTTCAGAAGACAGGGCCAGACCAGTGCCCAGCCCAGGGTCCAAGCAGACCACATTACATTAACCTGAACCCACACCCAGGTCCAAGGCACCATAAGAACCAAAGCAGAAGAAAGGACCAGGGTGACACCTGCAAAACAAAGAAGCTAAGTTCTTACATAATCCTGTTATGAGTACAATTAACATCATTTTTGCAGGGGCCTGTCAAGGGCCCTCACAGGCAGAGACAAAGCCAACTCTGGGTTTGAAAGACTGTGAAAAGAAAGGAACCCCATAAGGAGTAGAGACCAAAATCTAAGTCTAAGAAGACTAAAGCAAAACACAGAAATTCCCAAAGACGACTGTGACTAGTTATAAACACTACATCCAGTTCCAAGCAAAACTTTTTGCCCATGCTTCCCAAGACTGTGAGAAGCATAGTCTGACCTAAAAATAAAGCTCCAATCCAGAGGCTAAGGTCATATTTCTATGAGGAAACATAGGAAAATGCCAAACACTATGAAGAAATACTATGAACTAAAAGAAGTCAAAGAGGTAAGCACAAAAAAGAGAGTCAATCCACAAGAAGTAAAGCCCCAGAGAAAGGGCTATCCTGACCACAAAGACTATAAGAGTATAAATGAAACAGGAAGTACAAAATATAACATTAAGGGAAACGTCCTCTCAGGAGGGAAGAATGGCAAGGAGAGTTAATATCCTAGAACAGACAGTGGTAAACTTACACATGGATGGAACTCTCTGAAAATTATAATTGACCAGAGAGCAATGACTCCATAAAATAAGAGCTATATTTTTTTAAACCAAAAGATTGGAAAAATGAAAATTAGTATATACCATATCAAAAATAGTTGATCAGGAAAACAATTCAAAAAGAAAGAATCCCCAAATCACCAGATGACCTAAAAATCATGAACAAAATCTGAAAAGCTTGGATATCATATTTCAAGAAATCATAAAGAAACCTATTGGAACTAAAGGGCAAAATAAAAGCAGAAAAGCATCTACCTCCTGCAAATCCAAAACGATAACTCCCCTGCATGTCATACACCAAATCTAAAGTGTCTATGTCAAAAAACAAATGCTTCAAACAACCAAAAAAGGAAAAACTGTAAGTATGAAGGAACCAAAGTCAGAGTCACAAAAGACTTGGCAGTTGTAACAATAAAGAGATGAGCTTAGAACATAATATTCCACAAAGTAATAAAGGCTTACAAACAAGAATAACTCATCCAGCAAAACAAATATGATCTTACAGAGAGAGAAAAAAAGGATCTTTAATGAAATAGAAGACTTCCAAATATTCTTCAAAGAAAAAATTCCACATGAGTAGAAATTTCAAAATGCAGGAAGTGCAACTGCAGAAGTATTCAATATAAACAAACACCCCAGCTACTGGGATATGAAATCACATTCTGAGAAAACTGGACAGCAGCATAGAAGAAATAAAATTTAGATCAACATTTCACATCTCACACAAAGAGCAACTCCATACGGGCATGTGATCTAGATATAAGGCCACATCACAAACAAATTAGAGAAACATGGAAAAAATAACCTATCAGGTTTTTGTAGAATAAATTCTACAAGACAAGCAAAGCCTTCCTCTGCTCTTTGCGCATTTTGAAAAACATTTAAATGGCCTGCTTTTGGAAGGCATCAATACTGCTAGCTCTCCCTCTCCTTGATTCCTCTGTCACAATTAACCAAGTGAAAGAAAGGTAGGAAAATCCTGCTGACAAATAAAAGGTAAAGCAAAATGAAGTCAAGATAATGGCCACATCCAAAAATGTATGTGTGGACATCTTGTATCTATCACCTCTGTGAAGAGGTAGATAACATGCTTCATAAGTCTGCATGAGACATGGCTACTTACTCATTGCTTTGTTCATATTTTTCCATCTTTCAAAGCTGTTTTTCTTTACAATACTGTTGTCATTCTGTCTCCTGGTTATACCTGTTTCATACTACCTTATTCTCTGAAATTATATTTTTCCATCATTTCTCCAAGCAGAATTAAGAGTCCATTATATTTGTATACCACAATTTGTTCAGCCACTGCCCAATTATGCTTTTTTTAAATTTTTTTTTTTGGTTGGGTAATGGGGGGTTAAGTGACTTGCTCAGGGTCACACAGCTAGTAATAGTTATGTGTCTGAGGCCAAATTTGAACTCAGGTCCTCCTGAATCCAGGGCCGGTACTCTGCTAGGGTACACTGCACCACCTAGCTGCCCCTTGTGCCCAATTAGGTAAGAGGCATTCCCTTAGATTCTAGTTCCTTTGCTTTCCTTTTTTCTCCCCTTTTAATCCTTCTTCAGGATCAAGAAGTTTGTTTTGCTTGTGACTAGTATCCCACTATTATCCTCCCTTTTAAAAGTTTCCTCCATATTCCTCATTTCCCTATGAAGCTTGACATATTTCTACAACAAATTGTCAGTCTCCTTTCAATCCTCCATCTTTTTCATATGAGTGAAATTCATCTGC